TTTAAAAGTACCTAAACTTACTCGCATTTATTAAAAACTTGGTTCCCGGTCTCGTGCTGCCGTCGAAACATCATTATCTTTTATCCTTTGTTCTCGGGATAATGGTCATAATTATGTAACATTGTTTTACAGTGCATATTTCATTCTAACAGGCTTCTGCGCAGGACGGCGAAATCCATCTTACCGCCATTATACGTAGATCTCTGTTTCTAAAACCACTTGCATACCAAAGATACAACAGCTCGGTGTAGTTGTATCGGAGACTTGACAATTTGGTCGAAAAGGATTTTAGTTATCATAGTTTTTTGGTCGTCTTTCTTATAAAAACACTCGTTGATTTAGAGGTGTGTGGCTTTCAACTTTTTTTGTATGGTTAACAGTAGTAGGAGATGATACATAGTTTAATCCCCCCTTTTCTTTTTTCTTTCGGTTGGAAGGTAAATATAGCTTTCATTCTGTGAAGGAGAACGTTGTTCTAGATTGTTGTAGTGTGTGATTTTGAAGCCATTATTTGTTGTTCTAAGCTTCCTGATCTGCGAGTGTCTCTACTTCCATGGAGAACAGAATATCCGTGGGGCAATACACTGTAGAATGATTAGGAATTCGCCTTGGTAGTACAATATAACTGGTTACGCCATAACTCAGACTTCAGGCGTTACAGTACTGAATTAACATTACTATATTGCTCTCATAAGATATAATAACCCCTTCTTAGCTGCCTTAGTGGTCTAGTGCGTTAGGCTCAATTAGCTTTTATAGAATATTTCGAAGACACAGAGTTATTTTCAAAAAATACTATGTTAAACTATTTAAATTTTTTTTTCAATTTTGTGTTTGATTTTTAATTAATGTTTTAGTCATTATTACAGTGCTTACTGGCTGCTACAAAAATATTATATCATAAAATGTCTGTATAGTAATTATTATTGTGAAATACAGAACATTTAATAATATTCAGTCAGCACGTAAAAATTAATCTGAATTAAAACTGTGTTGTATTGAAAAAATTTAAGGGTTGTTTTCAGTCGAAAATGTATCTTATTCATAAATCAATTTATACAGAGAATGTCCCTTTGTAGCATTTATAAAGTTATAGAAAGATGG